TCTCCCACTCCCCCTGCTTGTGTTCCCTCTCTCGCTGTGTCTCTCTCTGTCAAATAAATAAATAAAATCTTTAAAAAAAAAAAAAAAAAAGAAAGCATAATAAATACAGGTCATCTGCAATGCAGAAGTTTTACACACACACACACCACGTACCACTAATAATAGACCCAACCCTGCCTCACCTGGTTCCCCTTTGTCGCTCTTCCAACTGCTGTGTATATCGGCTGCTAACTATGGTTTAGCGCTTATATTTATGATTGCCCCCTTCCGGGAAATTCCCCTAGAGAATCACAGGGGAGGTCGTCCACACCAGTGAAGGGACGTAACAGGCTCCCCACTGGCTCAGAGGAGGATGAGGACTATTGTTGCTCCAGAGCTCCCCGTGGGATTGGGCCCAGGCTGGACCCCAATTAAACTCCGTCTCACTCTTTCCAGCTTCCCTCACCACCTACAGGTTCCTCCTGAGAGCACAGCACCCTCAACAAATCCCTTGCACAAAAATCCCAACTAGTCTCAGTTTCCAAGGGGAAAAACGTCTACAAGGATATATGGCAATGGAGTGGAGTGACTGCATATGGATGGGTGGGTGGGTGGGTAAGTACACAGGTAACTGGATGTATGCATGACGTGCAGGTGAATGAAAGGTTGGGTGGATGAGAGGACAGTAAATGGTTGATGGGTGTTTGATGAGTCGGTGGATGATCAGATGGGTGAGTGGACGGGCGGATCAGTGGGTGGATGGATAAGGAGATAGACAGAGGAGGTACATGAATGGACAGACAGACGGAGGGAGGGATGGAATGCGTATATGGATGAGTAGGCAAATGAAAGGTTGGGCAGATGAATGAAGAGGCAGGTGAATGAATGGCTAATTTGAGTTTATGAGTGAAGGGCTGGCGGGTATGTGTGGAGGGAGATCCACATCACATGGAGACCCTCCACTCCATGTCTGACTACCACTAGACTATGTCCTGTTTCCCATGGGACACTGCTTGGTTGGGGAAATTCCAAGCTGAGGAAAGGAATGGACAACCCACTGAGATCTGTGGGGCGGGGCATCTGGGAAAGAGGAGGGAACCCCCAACTTACCTGAGAGTCTTCTGACTCGTCATCTCCCTCCACCGCGTTCCACTCCTGGGCCAGCCCAGGCTCTTGAGAAGACAGACCTGAGCACAGGAGACAGGACCACGAGTCAGTGACCAGGGCAGCTGGGGGTGGGAGGGAGGGCTCTGCCTGCTCGTCCCACCTGGCATCCTACCCTGTTCTCTTTCCTGTCACACTCACGTGCACACACACATTCTGGCCCACGTGGTTCAGGTGGTGCAGAGAGAATACGAGACCTGAATTCTGATCCTGTTTCTGTCATTACCCAGAAGACTTAAAGTGGGTCACCTGATGTGATCTGCCACCTGAGCCTTTGTTCCTTCACCTGTCAAATGGGTAAAACTGTCCCTTCTCTACGTGCCTCCTGCAAAAACTGAGTGAGGGAGCAGAGGAAAAAGTGTGGAATTAAGCCAGGATGAAGCAGGCTTGCCCAGCTTCCAGCCACCAGTGTAGACATCTCCCCATATTTGAACTTCAACAACCTTCTCACCCCTTAGCTGGATAGAACTAGGGGTCAGGCCAAAGATCGGCATTTTCCACTCCTCCTGCACCCAGGCTCCACTAGGAGCCCCCCAACCTCCTCCTCACTACCAGAACTCACACCCATATCATCCACACCTCCGTCCCAGGCCTGCTTGTCCCCTGTGGGAGAAGGAAAGACCCCGCCCCAAGTAGAAGCTCCAGCCTTTCAGGGGTCCCACCCTTGGTCCAGCTGTTTGAGCCCCAACCCCAGGAGTTATCCTGGGAATCTCTCTTGTCCTCCCCTCCGCACATCCATCTGCAAGAACTCTGATTCTCCCTCCCAGATGTGTCCCCAATCTCTGCAAGAACTCCGATTCTCCCTCCCAGATGTGTCCCCAATATCTCTTATGTCCACCACTGCCACATGTGGGCTTGGTCATCTCTCTCCCAGATGGTTGCAGGAAACTCCTATCTGGCCTCCCAGCTTCCACTCTGACCTCCTAATCCTACAGTTCATCCTCACACACAGCTGGATGCAGGCTTTCTCAACCTGGGCGCCATTGACCTTGCAAGCTGCATAACTCCTCGTAGTGGGGGTGGGTCCCGGGCCTCGTAGGGTGGGTCCTTGTCCTCTGCCTAGCAGCATTGCCTCGACCCATTTTGCCATTCAGATAACCCAAACTCCAGACTTTGCCAAACGTCCCCTGGGGAGGGGAGGTGGGATGCAACATGGCCCCCAGTTGAGAACCACTGAGTTAGCAGAATCTTTTTGAAACACAAATGAAATCCTGTCTTCCTCCTCTGCAAAACCGTCTGGCGGCTTCCCAATATTCAGATAACATACGCTGTGCGGTGGTCTCCAAGACGCCCCATCACTTGCTGGCCCCGGCTGGTCTCTACCTTCTTCCCCCGTGTCTCTGCTCTGTTCAGTCAGCACAGCCTCCTCAAACTCAGCAAGCTTGTCGCCTCTGCGGGGTCATCATCCTCTCTCGCCCTCCCTGACCACACTTGGGTCCCTCTCCGTCAATCATCCCATTTTACTGTCTTTGGAGCCCTCATCAGACATTACTTTTCTTTTTATTTCGTTGCTTGTTTATTGTCTGTTTCTCCACTAAAATCAGCTCTACTGGGGCCATCTTGTTTGCGGCTAGATCCCGAGCACCTGGTACATAGTAGGTGCTTGTGGTAGATTTTTGTTCCAAATGGCCTTCCACTTGTTCACTGGTCCCTGTGTCCACACCCCTGGGCAGCCCTCTCCCTCAGTGATACTGAACTTGACCACGCAGCTCACTTTAACCCATGGCCTGTGAGCAACTGGGTGGCCAGTACAGCTTAAAAAGTGCTTGCGAATTGAAGTTTTCCCTCCCTTTCCCTGCAACCATCCTCAGGAGAATACGCCTGGGCTCGCCTGCAGGAGACAAGGAGCCCAAAGTCAGCACCCTCAAACCAGCCAGACCCGCGAGTGAGGTCAACCAGCTGCCCCAGCCAGCTCACCGTGGATTTTCGGGCAAATGCAGGCTGTCCCCTGAGGCCGTGTCATATGCTGACCTGCAGAATCCTGAGCAGAGAAATGACTGTTGCTATAAGCCACTAAGTTTCGGGGCCACCTGCTACCCAGCAAAGGCTGATGGACACAGGGCTCCATAAATATCTGTCCACTGAACGAGTGAAGGGATGAGTGTTGTGTCTTTCCAGAGGCTCTGCTACAACCTTCCCCCCACCGCCCACGGGACGCCGGCCCCTCACCTTTCTCGTCACCGTCACAACTGGTGGCCCCAACCTCCACAGCCACCCAGTCTTTGGCGAGGGCGGCACGCTTCTCCCAGGCCCTGCTCTCCCGGGGAAGCAGCGTCTTGGCCCTCTCGGGCTCCAGCAGCCCCCGAATCTGCTCCGGCCTGAGGCTCTGCATCTTCCTGGGATGGAGAGTTTCCAAGGCAAGCCGCTCGTCCTTCTCCTGCTCGCGTTGGGTTCCCTGGGCACAGGATTCAGAACCTGGGGGGCTGACAAACATTTCGTCATTCCACAAATATTTACAGAGTGTCATCTGTGTCCCAGGCACCATCTGTAGGTGCCGGAGACACAGTAGTGATGGAAGCAGGCTCCCTGCTCCCGTGGGGGCTTGCATTCTAGCGGGCCCTGGGCGAGGAGAGACGGCGTGCCAAGTGCCCCAGAGACAAATAAAGCAAGAAACAGAAGAGGAGTTTCGAGGTGGGGGCCAGAGAGCGGCACATTCACACACAGGTTCATTCCACAGCCCAAAGCACACAGCCAGAAGGTTTTAGGAAGACAGAGTCGCCCCCAGATCCCCCCCGGCTGCAGTGAAAAGGGTCACAGTCTTTCCACCAACCCCCAGCAGCCCCAACTTTCTCCTTTGTTGGCATAAAAGAAAACCGAGAAGCATTCCCCAGGTGAGGGGTTAAAAGTCTAATTTAAAATGAGATGTTCTTTAGTATTCTCATTCTAGATCTTGTCAACCCAAACTTCAGGAGGTTGTTTGCAAGGAGCTGTCTGGACTACACTGTGTTACCCTTTACCTTGAGACCCTAAATCTGGTTTATGTTCTTATTCTAGAGATCTGTCCGCATTATCAACCTTGCATTATATTAACCTACCGGCAGCCCTCGTGAATAGTGATCTTTTTTAAAGGAGTAAATTCTCTTGGTATAGGGAAAATAAAAGCTTTTTAAAGCATTTTCTTCTTTAATTAGTTTTATGCAAATAAAAATTGTTATATCAAATTTAGAAACCACAGGGCATATAGTCTAGAGTCAAAGAGACATTAGCGACTGAACAATCAAAAGCATGTGGGGATCATGTTTGGAGTCAGAGTCAAAGAAACCTGGTGTGAAACAAACAAAAAAAAAACTTTTTAAAGACTATCAAGGGAATTGATTATGGACTGGGTATTCGATGACGTCAGGGCACTCTCACCGCTTCTGTTGGGTGTGGAAATGGTCTTATGGACAGGTAAGAAAATATCCATCTTATTTTTTTAGAGATGTTTTTGTAGTGTGTAAGGGTCAACTGACATGATGGCTGAGATTTGCTCTAAAATACTTCTGCGGTTGCGCCTGGCGGGCTCAGTGGGTAGAGCATGACTCTTGGTCCCGGGGTCGTGAGTTCAAGCCCCACATTGGGCGTGGAACCTACTTTAAAAATAGGTAAAATAAAATAAAATAAAACACTTCTACAGTGAAGGAAAAGGACAGACAAAAGGGGGTCAGAGCAAACAAAGGATGATTTCCGAACCTGGAAAAGGGGGAGATGTGGCTCTCAGGGGTATCCCTGTGCCCGTGAGTAGCTCTGAAATGCTTTCATATCAGAAACTAACACATACACTGCGGAGATGCAGAATGTGCTCATTGCTTCTACGTTACTCATCATCACGGAGGTCTTCCTTGCGGACGGGGGCAGCTCCAAACCCTTGAAACCCAAATCTGAATGCATTTCCCCAGACACTGGTGCCCTCTGTCCCCAGCCCCCAGCACAGCCTGCCTCCTGGGTCCCCTGCTCTTGACCCGGGCTCCACCATCGTCCCCAACAGTGTCCACAGGCATCACTGTCCACTTGTCTCGTCACCCGCACATCCAGCGGACCACAAGCGCACCTGCTCGTCTTAGAAAATGCTGCCCCGCTCTGTTCTCCACCCTCTGTCTTCACCCTCTGGCCCACTCCGCCATTGACCCTGCCGATCCCCTTCCCTCGCCGCACTCTCCAGTCCATGCTCCTCAAGAGCCCCTCTGGTCAGGATGCTTTCAATGCTCCACACAGCGGTGCAGGGCAGGCCCTGACATGGCCTAAAGGCCTCCACCACCACCATCCCTACATTTTCCCTCCTCCTGGACAGCCCAGGAGGTGATCCTAGACGCACCCGGGACTATGAACCCCAACGAGGCAAGGTTCCCCCGCTCTTCGGTACCCTCTTTTATTTCTAAAAATTGAGTTAAGGGCGCCCAGGTGGCGCAGTGGGTTAAGCGTCCGACTCTTCATTTCGGCTCAAGTCGTGATCAGCGTCCTGGGATCCAGCCCGGGACAGGTTCTGCACCCAGCGGGGAGTCTGCTTGTCCCTCTCCCTCTGCTCCTCCCCCCACTCACCCCTCTCTCTCAAAATAAATTAATTAAATACTTTTTAAAATTTGAGTTAAAATACACCTAACACAAAATCCATCATCTTAGCCATTTTCCAGTGTACAGCTCAGTGATACTGAATGAATCCATTCACAGTGCCCTGCGGCCACGACCACCATCCAACCTCCTAACTCCTGCACACCTGAGACTCTGTCCCCATTGAACACCACGCCCAGCCCCCAGCCCCAGGCACCACCATCCCACTTTCCATCTCTAGGAGTCTGACTACCCTAGCTACCTACGTAAGTGGGATCACACAGTATTTGTCCTTTGGTGCCTTGCTAGGTCACGCTGCATAATGTCGTCAGGGTTCATCCACGGTGGAGCTCCTGTCTGAGGTTCCCTCCTTCTTAAGGCCGAATAACACATATTTGCTTGTCCATCCAATGCTGTAGCCACTGTGAAAAATGCTGCTAGGAATGTGGGTGTGCAAATATCTCTTTGAGACCCTACTTCCATTTCTTTGGGGTATGTGCCCTGCAGTGGAACTGCCGGGTCATAGGGCAATTCTGTTTTTAGTTTCTTCCGGGAACCTCCACACTGTTTTCCAGAGCAGCCACACCAATTCACGTTCCTAACTGTGCACAAGGGTTCCCTTTTCTCCACATCCTCAACAACACTTGTTGTTTTCTGCGTGGTTTTTTTTTTTAAGATTTTATTTATTTATTTGAGAGAGAGAGAGAGGAGAGCGAGAAAGCACAAGCAGGAGGAGCAGCAGAGGGAGAAGCAGGGTTCCCGCTGAGCAGGGAGCTTAACACGGGGCTTGATCCCAGGACCCTGGGGCCATGATCTGAGCTGAAAGCAGATGCTTAACCAACTGAGCCACCCAGGCACCCTTGGGTTTTTTGATAGTAGCCATACTAATGGATGTGAGGTGGTTCCACTGACAAAGGAAAAAGTCTGCGTTTGATGCTAATACACCTCACACCTCCCCCTCTGTCCTCTCTCTCAAAGAGAGAGCAAGCGGCTTCCTGCTCAAAGTATCCAGACAGAAGGTAAGGATATTGGTTTGTTTTCCTGTGCTTATTTTCATGGTTACCCTCAATACTGTTAAAAAAAGGGGGGGCGGATAGTGGCTTTCCATTTATAACAAAGTTTCCCTTTGAAAATTCATTGAGAAAAGACTTTAAAATTGCAGTGACTCAGGGGTCCTGGTGGGAGTGTATGTTGGCTCAGCCACTTGGAAAACTATCTGACAAACATCTACTAAAGCTGAACGCGCAATTTCCCTCCTAGATACTCACTCAAGAGAAAGGAAAACTCATGTCCACACAGACACTTGTACTCATGTTGCTATCAACTGTATTCATAAAATACAGCTGTTCATATTCACAGACAACCCAGGTGTCTATCAACAAGAGAATGGATAAGTAAGCCACAGTTTATTCATATGATGGAGTATTACTCAGAAATAAAGGGTACAAACAAAAAGGATACATGCAATAACATGGATGAATCTAAAAATATATGTATTAAACTGAGTGAGAAAAGCCAGACACAAAGGAGAACACATGTGTGATCTTATTAATTAAAAAAAAAAAAGTGTGAAGGAGCGCCTGGGTGGTTCAGTCATTAAGCGTCTGCCTTCGGCTCAGGTCATGATCCCAGGGTCCTGGGATCGAGCCCCGCATCGG